GATACCATGGACTATGGGGCTTCTCTATCTGTTCCCACCATTTCCTTTAGTACAGAGGACGCTGGTCAAACTGCAACAGGAATCTGCAGAAGCAATTCTAGTGGCACCGTTCTTGGCCTCAATGGCAATCGACTCAATGACACTTCCGACCTTTCCCACTCTGCTCACTCAGGATGCGGGCAAGGTGTTTCATCCGGACTTAATCTCATCTCACTGCCTTGGGTTTGAAATATTTATTTCAGTGTGAACTTTTGTGGATTATAATCCATATCCTCAAATATATGGAGCATAATCAAAGGGGGAGGGGAGCCATGTCACACTTGTACCTGCTCCAAAGGCAATGGTGGATGGTTTGTTGTTGTTTAGTCGTTTAGTCATGTCTGACTCTTTGTTACTCCATGGACCAGAGCATGCCAGGCCCTCCTGTCTTCCACTGCCTCCCGCAGTTGGGTCAAATTCATGTTGGTAGTTTCGATGACACTGTCCAATCAGCTCATCCTCTGTCATCCCCTTCTCCTCTTGCCTTCACACTTTCCCAACATCAGGGTCTTTTCCAGGATGTCTTCTATTCTCATCAGATGGCCAAGGTATTGGAGCCTCAGCTTCACGATCTGTCCTTCCAGTGAGCACTCAGGGTTGATTTCCTTCAAAATGAATAGATTTGTTCTCCTTGCAGTCCAGGGGACTCTCAAGAGTCCTCCAGCACCACAATTCAAAAGCATCGATTCTTCAGTGGTCAGCTTTCTTTATGGTCCAGCTCTCACTTCCATACATCGCTACAGGAAGAACCATAGCTTTGACTATTCTGACTTTTGTTGGCAAGGTGATGTCTCTGCTTTTTGAGATGCTGTCGCGCACAAACAAATGCTTTCAGCCTATAGGGGCCTTCATTAGGCACGACACCACTTATATGTGGGTGGTGCTGGAAAAATATAAGGTCCAAAAATCTTAACTACCCTGTTTCCCCGAAAATAAGACTTAACCTGGAAATAAACCCTAGTATGATTTTTCAGGATGCTTGTAATATAAGCCCTACCTCAAAAATAAACCCCAGTGAATTGAACCCCCGCCCTCCACCATTGTGCAGCAACCAGAAGAAGATGACATGACTATAATTGAATAAGTTAGATTGTTGTACATAAAAAAATAAAACATCCCCTGAAAATAAGCCCTAATGCATTTTTGGAGCAAAAATTTATATAAGACCCTGTCTTATTTTCAGGGAAACAGGTAGACGTCTATGCTGGAGCTGCAAATTCAAGCCAGGAGTCTTGATGTTAAGTGCCACCTCTGGCAATGTGGATTGACTTGTCCCAAACTTGCCAGACAGAAGGGACAATTTATTTGTCCTTTTGTTGAATATTTGGGAAATTTCGATTCACGTTGCTAGAAGTGGAATTTGAAACCAACTCTTCTTGCTTGTCTTTGCAGCCCTCCTTGTGAAACTGGTATAAACAACTAGTCGTGATTTTTGGGGCTCTTGTATTTTTCCGGAACCATCACTACTAGTAAATGGTGCCCTTCTTTGATGAAGGATCATACAGACCTAAAGCTAGCATTTGTTTGTAAATTTTTAGTGGCCTAACAGAGATGTCAGCTTTGAATGGAGCATAGTATATACAGAAGACATGGTAGAGGGTGGGAACATGCTGAGATGGGAAAAAGATGTTTTTAAAGAAATAGCCATGTTAGTCTCTTTCAGTCTGTTAACTGAAATAAAGGGAAGAAAAGGTAAAAAGGAGAAAAAGTAAAGGATAAAATATTGTAGCACCTTAAAGACTGATACATTTGTTTCAGCATGAGCTATCATAGATCAAAATCTGAGGAATTGTGTCTAAAGAAGTAGATTCTGATCCATAGAAGTTCCCACTGAAAGAAATCTGTTAGTCTTTCAGGTGCCATAACATTTTGTTTGGGTCTCTTTCAGTAGCTTTCTTTTTAAATTGGAGAAAAAGGATTTAAATTATGTTGCTAATATGCTTTCAAAATGCCAATGAGATTGTCAATGCCAATTTTACTTAAAAAAATTTGCTTTTGTCACTTGCTCCATGGATAAGGCAGATCCATAAACAGCCCCTAAGGATGATTGCTTTAAAACAATACTGTGAGCTGTTTAGTAGCATTATGAGCTTTTGTTCAGAGTGAGAAATGTTCCTAGATTTTCATAAAATGCATTTGAAAAACTGTACTATGTGCATGAAAGCTCATGCCAAATAAAAGTTACTAGCCTTAAAGGCGCCACAAAACTCTTTGTTATTGCTAGAAAACCATTTTCCAGCCGATTTGGGTAAATGGAGAAAGCAGGCATGTGAAATAGCAATCCTTTCCCCTCCCACTACCTTAAGATCAACATCTCTTGATGCCTTACCACCTTCTGTGATGAAAGGAGAGAAAGGAACTCAATTATTATTGGAGATGCTTCTAATAGTTAGCCTAGGAAAGAGTCTTTTGGAGTCCTGAGCCTAACTTGAAAAACCAGTTTTATAGTCAAGACTTAAAAAAAGAGAGAGAGACTTCAAGTTAGCCTTCTTAAAAAAAATTTTTTTAAAAAAAATGTGCTGGACCTTTGAAGGACCATTGTTACTGAGCTGGCATTTCTTAATATGCAAGTAGACTATACAATTTCTTTAACAATCTGTTAAGTGTTTTGATTACTTTTTTCTCTCCTTTGTGGTTTGTGAATGACTCCTAGTACTGCGCCTTGTATTCTTGCAGAAAGTAGCATCTGGATCTGCATGACAGGACTGCTCTCTGGCCTTTGACCTAGCATTGCTTCTGGCATTAACTGTTTCAGAGGGTTAATAGTAGGTTTAGCTTGAAGCTGAACCCTTGCTCATATTGACGCCATTTTCTCTTCAGATGGCCCCTTTTCTCTAGAGGGAGGGGTGATACTTTTAACAAGCAAGAGAATTGTGATATTCATGTGACTCAATGGCTGGGCTGATGCCTGAGGTTCTTTCACTACAGAGCTTTAAAATTAGTAAAAAGATTTTTGCCCTTAATGGCCACTCTCTATATTTAGGAATGAAATGAAACTTAACCATACAATAAATTGTGTTGCAGAGGAACAGAGAACTTCCTGCCAAAATTGCACTGCTGAACTTTACATCAGATAACGCTCCCAAGCACATTATCTATCTGTCTGTTTGTTTGTTTTGTTTTGTTTTGTTTCTACTCCCTTCCTCTCCCAGTTCAATGACCTAAGGCTGCTTACAAAAACTGCTGGTCAAAAACTGCTATTTTATAGCAAATTATTTTTATCCTCAGCAAAGACTCACAGATGCTGTATTGAAAAATTGCTCTGCATGTGTTTTTTCAAGTATTTAACAAAATTATGGGGTTAGATTGTAAAGTGGGTGCAGTAAAAATGAACTAATTTCTAATTTTATTCCTCTAAAATTCTTTGTGCCATGTACCTGTATGCTTTGGGTAAACAGATAATAATCACCACCACCACCACCCATGGAAACATCAGATAGAGAAGGTGTCAGAAAGTGAGGAAGTCAAGATCTTGTGGGATTTCTGGGTCCAAATTGATAAGACACCTTGAACATAAATAACACATGAGACATAGTAGTAACAGAATGAAGAAATGTCTAGATCATTGACAAATCTAGGGGATGTCAGAGTTGAAAATAAAGAATTGGAAAAACTAACAAAGTATAGAGACCTGCCAATCTAAACATCTTGCTTGTGGATGAAACACACTTCAGTGGTCCCTGTAGTCATGGGGCTTTGGGAACAATATCAAGAAATTTCACACAGTACTGTAAGCAGTTGCAGATCTCAGAAATAGCACCATCAGAGCTACAAAAAAGGACAGTATTAGGAACAGCATATATACTGTGCGGATATGTAGCAGGTACTTAGGTATTTGTTTAATGCTTGTATCTGTTATATAATACCAATCAATGTTTTATAGTTTTGATTGACTGTACCTGGTGTTTTTGAATAATAATAATATTAATTATAATCATGATGATATGATGATGTGCCGTCAAGTCAATTCTGACAGTGACCCTTTTCAGGGATTTCCAGGTAGAGAATACTCAGGAGTGTTTTACCAACAGTTGAATAAAATATTGAGTCACCTGGTTTTGTTTGAAATAAAATGTAACCTAAATTTGGGGAGCACCAGCTGGAAATGGTTGACTGTTTCCCATTGGCTTGAATTCTGTTGAACTAGCTTTGTTTTTGCTATTTTAGTGTATTGTGTTTTTTAATGTCTCATATCTTAGTATCTTTTGCTTTTCCATCTGTAAATCTAAAGCTGCTGCATAGCTCTTCTGTGAACAAACTATAGCCTCCAGCAAGTTGCTAGATTGCACTTCCCATAATCCATAACTCCTGGTTATGCTGACCCAGGCAGTCCAATATCATCTGAGCAGGCACAACTTGCCCATTCCAAAGAAAAAGTAGAGTTGAATTAATGGTCTTCTGAATTAAATCAGCTGCAGCACGATGCATAATTTTTGGTGTTGGAAAGGAGGAACATCAATGGCTTTTGCCATTGCTCTTAATGAACAATTAAATATGCTACTGTCTGCTGCCTCCCTCTGCTGGGTGGAATGTGAAAACAGCTGTATAATTTACTGGGGAATGCATCAACAAATCACTTGATACAATATTTTAGCAAAGTTTAGTGTAAACCACTTGAGTGCAAATATATAGTTAAGAGGGGTGGGTGGGTAGGGGTAAACTGCCGTTAGCCTTTGTAAAGGTAGTTCAAGCGATAGTCTTTATTATGTCAGGACTGATGCTAAAAAGAAGTTCATTGTCCAGCTTGGGTTAATATCCAGATCCTAAGATCTGGTTTGCAAGGAGACTTCTATACCCATTGTTCCCAGTGAATTTTACTGGTGATAATTGTTTGTGTTTTAGACAGCAAGGGAATTTATTAGTGTTATTTTACTTCCAAATACCAGCTGTGTCCACATACATGTTGCTGAACCTTACTACTTGCAAGTGTTTACCTCTTGTCTTATCTCTTCCACTTACAGGTGTTGCATTTCTATTGTGACACATGTTCTGTTCCCATCTGCCGGGAATGCACCATGGAACGGCATGTGGGCCACAGTTTTATCTACCTCCAGGATGCTCTGCAGGACTCCAGAACCCTGACGATTCAACTATTAGCTGATGCTCAACAGGGACGCCAGGCCATTCAGGTAAGTGTGCAGTTAGTATCAAGAATGTTGATGCTAGGGCTGTTTCCCCAAAGTCCCCCGGCTGCTCTCACACATTCAGTTGTAATAGCAGTCATTACCCATTGTTAATAAGATAATTAATATGGTATGGAGGGTTGGGCTTGGACTTGAGAGAGATGGCTTCTAGTCACCACTGAGCCATGAAACTCACTGTCCAAAATTTTGTTGCTTAGGATAGTAAATTGCACTGAAGTAGGGCTCAATGAATTAGTGGAGATTTGGTGAGTAAACTACATAAATTCCATTGATTCAAATAGGCCTACTCTGACTGCAACTTACCTTAGCATGGACAGTTGCAGTTAGAGTAGAACTGTTTGAATCAATGGAACTTCCAGGAGAGTTGTCCAGTGTCTTTTGGAATTATCTGATATTATGTGATTTTATCTAAATAATGTATATTTATCTTTCTGGTCACTGACCGTAAAAAATACTACTACTACTACTACTACTACTACTACTACTACTACTACTACTACTACTACTACTACTACTACTACTACTACTACAACAACAACAACAGGAAGTTGACTGACCAAATCCCAATGATTCAGTAGATCAACTCTTGTGCAGTGTATTATGCTAAAGCAGCAGGATTTTGACCACTGAGTGATCTCAGTCACTTTTTCTCAGCTTGACCACTAAACTACCTCACAGTATTGTTGTGGAGAAGGGACACATAGAATCAGGTATGTATTGAGCTCACTGGAGGGATTGTAAATGCAACAAATAAATAATTGAGGCATTAGTCTTCAGGGGATAAATTAACATTTTTTTAAAAAAAAACAGAAGTATAAAGCCATCTCTGCTTGGCAGTTGATCTCTGATTCCATTTTTCACTTTGGATCTTGAAAGATAGTAAAATTTCCAGAGGGGGTTAGCTTTCTTCGTACATTGCAGCAAAAGCAGCAAAATCATGTGGCACTTTAAAGTTTAAAAAACATAAGACTTCCCAAGACCATGCATGTAATTGTGTACCATGAAAACTTAGAATATAATAAATCTTATAGTCTGTATTAAGATACCACAAATGATCAAAGTCATCTTGTGAGTTGTGTCTCCATTTGCAAGTGTTTGAAATGGCATAAATATACCATGTAGAAATATGGTTTCAGCTTTAAATAAAAAATTCATTTAGAGACACATCATTATTTCAGATTTGCTGTGGACCAAAAAATAAGGTAAATTACTTTTACAAAAAGAATTCACAATTGGGCTCCATTTTTTCAACAGTGGAGGGTCAAAACTCTCTTCAGCCTTTTGTTCTTAGGCAGGAGAATGGCTACTTCCTTCTGTAATTCAACACATGGGAGACCCATATTTGACCCAAGAAGGGAGGGTCCCCCTCTGATGTTGCCGGAAGAGGCACCCACACACACACACACACACACAGAGACCATAGATCAATGCCTTTTTTCCTGTTGTGCCCCTTATCCCCCCTCCGATAAAGGGATTTTGAGAGCTTGTGCACAGGTTTGTGCTTCCTACCCAATTTTAATTGGCCTCATTAAGGTTTTGCCCACATACAGTGTTCTGATTTTGGATGTTGTAAAAAGCAAGGTGTGTCAAGTTTATTTCTAGTCTATGCGAAAATATAGTGGTTTTGTTTAGGATTGCAAGTCTTACACAGTGAGATTCCCAGAACAGTATATTCTCTAGGCATTTCAAGATTCATTGTTATTCATTGTTATTCTTGGAAGTCTCTACATATTTGGCAATATTTAGAATGTAATGGAATAGTGAAATTGGAAGCGGCCTATAAGGCCATCAAGTCCAGTTCCCTGCTTGATAAAGGAACACAAATCAAAGGATACCTGCTGGGTGGTTGTCTAGGTTTCTCTTGAATGCTTCCAGTGTTGGAGCACTCACCACTTCTCGTGGTAATTGGTTCCACTGTCTTTACTGCTCTAACAGTTAGGAAGTTTTTCCTGATATTCAATCAAAATCAGGCTTCCTATCACTTGAGCCCGTTGGTGCATGTCCTGCACTCCGTATGGCAGCCTTTAAAGTATTTGAAAAGTGTTAACATATCAACCCTCTGTTTTCTTTTCTCAGGGCTAAACAGGCTCAATTCTTTCAGTCTATTCTCATAGGGCTTGGTTTACTGTCCCCTGATCATCCTTGTTGCCCTCCTCTGAACTTATTCCAATTTATCAGCATCCTTCTTAGAGGGGAACTAGCAGCTCATGGGATTTGGAAACTGTACTTCTGTTAGTGCAGCCTAAAATAGCATTTGCCTTTTTTCCAGCCACATCACGCTATTGGCTCATATTCAGCTTGTGATCTACAACATTTCCAAGAACCTACTCACTTGAAGTATTGCTGAGCCTGGTATCCCCCATTTTGTAACTGTGCATGTGGTTTCTTTTTCCGAGGTGCAGTTAGGTAAAGGTAAAGGTTCCCCTTGACAAATGTTCATTCATGTCCGACTCTAGGCACAATGCTCATCCCCGTTTCCAAGCCATAGAGCCATTGTTGGTCACGTGACCAGTATGATAGACACGGAATGGCATTACCTCCCACAGTGGTGGTACCTATTTATCTACTCACATTTTTACATGCTTTCAAACTTCTGGGTTGGCAGGAGCTGGGACAAGGTATGGGAGCTCACTCCGTCGCGTGGATTCGAACTGCTGCTCTTTCGGCCTTGCAGCCCAGAGGCTTTGCAGTTCAACCCTTATCCCTGTGGAATTTCATTGTGTTGTTTTCAGCCCAGTGCTGCAGCCTATCAAGATCATTTTGAATTACAGTGGTGCCTCGCTTAGCGACGTTAATTCGTTCTGCACAAATCGCTGCAGAACAAAAATGCCGCTATGTGATATTAAAAAGCCCATAGAAATGCATTGAAACCCCTTCAGTGCATTCCCATGGGCTTAAAACTCACTGTTGAGCGAAGATCCTCCATAGCGCCGCCATTTTCGCTGCCTCTTAAGTGAGGAATCCGTCCCTAAACACAGTGGGCGGTCATGTTTTTTTCCCTGCGGTCATTTTGAAATTGCTGATCAGCTGTGTGAAAATGGGGGCTTTGCAATGATCGCTTCCTTGCGATCATCGCAAAGCAAAATTTCCCCATAGAGAACATCGCAAAGCAATCGCTTTTGCAATCGCAAAAACAGCATCACTAAGCAATTTCGTCGCTAAATGGAGCGATCGCTAAGTGAGGCACCACTGTATGTTTCTGTCTTCCAGGGTATTAGCTGTTCCACCCAATTTTGTGTCATCCACAGGTTTTGACAAGTATTCCCTATGCCTCCTCATCCATGTCATTAATAAAAATGTTGAAGACCACCGGACCTAGGACTGAGCCTTGGGGTATCTCACTTGTTACTTCCTCCCAGTTGGAAAAGGTCCCATTAATCATCACCCTCTGAGTACGATTCTATGGCCAATTGCATATCCACCTGACATGTGATCTGTTCAGGCCACACCTAGTTAGCTTGCTAATCAGGATATCATGCGGTGCTGCTGAAGTCAAGATGTACTATGTCTACAGCATTCCCTCTGTCTATCAGGGAGGTTTTTGTTGCTTAGTCGTTAAGTCATGTCTGACTCTTCGTGACCCCATGGACCAGAGTACACCAGGCCTTCCTCTCTTCCACTGCCTCCTGGAGTTTTGTCAAAATCAGTGAGGTTACCTGATTAAAAAAATGAGATCAGATTAGTTTGACAGAATTTGTTCTTGACAAATCTGTGTTGACTTCTAGTTATTACTGCATTGTTTTCTAGGTCCTTGCATAAAATATTCACTCTACTTCGTTGGTGCTCTTGCTTTCAAGGAATCAAACAAGAAGGATGCATGTCTGTGAAACACAGGGGTCAAGTTTTTGTTCTTTTCCCATCCACTTGCAGGCTATCTTGAAGTGTCTTTCAATTTTCCCATCACTGGGTACTTAGTGAATACTACTAGTATTAGTGCATAAAAGGCCAGAATCCTATTAGTAAGTTATGTAGGCATAAGTGACAGTGGCAAATTGTCATTAATTAAAAATGCGTGGTCAACCAGTATCTTTGTTAATTAGTGGCAGTTTGTTACTGTGACTTGGGCAATTTCATTCAGGCACACATAAATCACCAATAGGATTCTGTTCTAAAAACAAGAGTATAACCTGTTAGTTGTCACAATATCTTCTTGAAAGCCTTAGTCTTAAAGGTTTAACATCATAAGCAATTCATTTACTTTTGAAAATGTTACAGAAACTGGTGTGTGTGTGTGTTGTTGTTGTTATTTAATTCAAGGTATGTTGGGAGAGTTTTGTGTTTTTTAACTGGTTAAACTGGTTTAACACATGTTGAAATGAAAAGTTTGCGGCTAAAAGAATTTTCTCACCTCATACAGGGCCTGTTTTAGTTTTGTGACCTGGAATATGGGAAAGGGCATTACCTCTTGTATCATTAGTATTCAACAGCACTTGTGATTATGTTATCTACAATTTCATAGTTTATATACTTAGTCATTTTGAAATGGAAAAGGCAGTATGTAGTTTCTCACTAAACAGCCCCATCTGCTGGCAGCATGGTTTTTGAAAACCTTATTTTGAAAAAGAATGATTTACTTTTTTTTTCTTTATCCAACCAAAAGAAAGAAAAAGGAGGAAAAGGTAAGAAATATACAAAAGGTTGGTGAGTATTGGTTGCCTTATACCAAAGAGATTTAGTTGTAAATTCATGCCCAATAGTGAAGCTTGTTTTGTGATTGTGGACAGGTGGCTATTTCTCAGTTTAACAGCATATATTGGGAAAGTTAACTTTTTACTGCATACCGTAAGTCCCAGGCTTCCCTTGCCTATAGTATGCATTCCCTACCTTTGGTCTGTCCTCAGCCCAGAGATAAACAGTGAACAAGATTGCTTTAAAACGTTCTTTATTACATAAAACAATAGGTACTGCACAAGAAGATAACAGGCCAGAAATGTTGCAGAAACAGACTGACTTGTTACAACCAGTTCTAATTTGATCTAGTAACA